AGGGGGGAGGCTGGGGAGCGACTGGAGAACGAAGTAGGAGGAAAGGGGGGAACGAAGGGGACAGACCTCGGAACAGAAATGCACTACTGTTATCGAGTAGCACAGCGTTTTGGGGGGCTTCCCACACACACACACACCCTCCTTGAAAAGAAAGAAAGTGGATCTGTTTGCAGAGGCGCTATCACGTTTCATCAGGCCACCTGAGACTGCTTTTGAAAGCGTGTACTGTGAAATTCATAGCAGTAATTTAGACAAAATCCTCACTGTATATTAATGAAAGACGGCCCCATGGCTCTGTTTCTATCCTCCCCATTCAGTGTAAACAAAACCACGAGACTTTCTCGGTTTTTGAGCCGGATCCAAGCAAAATCGGCAGGAAAGGAAAACATGGGGTGCTGGCACCGACTATTCAAACGTCTGCACCTGGAGATCTCAGATTTATTCAATGAAATCTGTGTTCCGTCTTTTATATATACATATACGCATACATAAATATAAAAAGGAACCTTAGGAGGACGCAGAGAAAAAAAATCCCCGGGGTTTGGTTGACGCTGCCTCTCAGATCTATACCTTAGCAATAATGCTTTCCTAAAACCTACCTACGATGGTATCTCTCCCCCGGCAACAAGAGCTGGACAAGATCCTACATAAATTCTACGCGTCTACTGTTAATCTGGAATTCACGCAAAGTCTATGTGGCTGAGGCTGGGCTCTCCAGCTTTAACTGAGTTCACTTAACTGCGCCCAGCAGAGGAATTATTCCCCAGGAGGGAAGGGCAGCCCCGTTCACATTTTAATCCGAGCTTCGCATCCAAGTCCAGGGCCGCGGCTCTGGCGCGCGCTGCTGGAGCTGGGGTCTGCCCGCCACAGAAGCAGGCTAGGGCGGGCGTCCGTTGCACCGCGGCTGGGGTGCGGGGTGCACGCAACGCACACTCATTAGGAACGATGTATTTATTGAATGTCCGAGTTAGGTTAGTTCATTGGAAATCTCAGAGGAGGGTTCAATTTGCCCTTGTTTTCGTTGCCACTTTCTCTTTTTTCTTGGTTCGCTGAGGTTCCTCAGTGCAGCGTTTCCGCTTGGCTGCGTCCCCCACCCCCGCTTCTCCCGCCTACCCTGCGCACTCCCCCCGCCCGTCCCCCTTAACTCTTTCAGCCAGGCTGGGGCTGAGAAAGCGTTCTGTCGCCGCCAGCCCCATCCACTATGCAAACCCACTGGAGACAGAAAAGAAAGAAAAAGCACACCGTGCCTAAAAATAGAGGGCAAGCCAACCCCACCACTAATATCCACGCTGAAAACGAGAGAGAAAGAAAGAGAGAGAGAGAGAGAGAGAGAGAGAGCGCGAGCGAGCGAGCAGTGGAGGGCGCGGCGAGTGGATCCCGGTTCCTTAGGCCGGCTCCTGCTGGAATGGGGATGCCTAAAGCCCCTGGGGTGGGATACACTTACGATGTACCTATGGGGAAAGGTCGGCCTGATTGCTTTTCAAATACATCGCATGGCTCCGCTGACCGGCACCCTCCAAACTCACAAGGGCACACACGCTACTTGCCTGAATCCCCGAGGAGGGAGGCGGGAGGGAGGGGAGAGAAGGAGAGGGAGGGAGCGAAGCAGAGGGGGGTGGGGGCGAGCGCAGCCGCGGCAGCGAGCGGTCCGTCTCGCACGCGCGGGCACCGCGCTGGTCCCGGGTTGCAGGTTTCCCAGATGATGGCATCCGAGAACTTAAACAAAGGGGGCCGCCGCTGGCGCGCAGAGGCTGCGGAAAGTTGCGGTGGCGGATTTCCAAGGAGCGTGGCCACGACCCGAGCTCTTGGCGCTGCGAGCTCCCCCTTCCCACCCCCGCAGAGACAGAGATGGGGGCCGACTGGTGAAGGAGAAAGGAAACTTTGAAACCACTGGGGACACATCTGTCTATAGGTATTAACGTGAATGGTGCATCCTTGCCGCGCGCTTTACAAATCTCTGGGATGGGGAGGCGGGGAGGGCGGCAACACCACGCAGTCCTGGGTGGAGTGGGTAGCTTGCTATTTTTCATGATTTTTTTCCCCTCTTCGTTTTCCTTGATTCTCCCCCCCCACACCCCCCATACACACACACACACTCCCACCCCTACCACC